AGCTTCAAAAATACTCTCTCTCCCACTTCAAACTGGATGTCCTTCCTATGCCCATCCGCTTGTTTCTTCATAATTTGTTAAGCTCTCAGTAAATGCCTCTTCAACTCCTTTAGCACTTGATCCCTCTCCTCCAAGTACTCCTCCACTGACGAAACTGGAGTACTGCTACTCCCAAAGTGCACCAAGTGAGGGGGGTCCCTTCCATACAACACTTTGAATGGAGCCATCTGTGCAGCTGAGTGAAAAAAGGTGTTGTACCAATACTCCGCCCAAGGTAGCCACTTGGCCCAAAGCTTGGGTGTCTCCAACACAAAACATCTCAAGTAGGTCTCCACGCTCCTATTGACCACCTCTGTTTGGTCATCTGTTTGTGGGTGATAAGCAGTTCTCCTTTTCAAAAATGTCCCCTGTAATCTGAACAATTCTCTCAAAAAATGACTGAGGAAAACCTTATCTCTGTCTGACACGATCGCCTCTGGTACGCCATGCAATCTGATCACCTCTCTAATGGAAGTTGAAGCCACTGTCACCGCGATGTAAGGATGTCGAAGAGGAATGAAATGAGCATATTTGCTCAATCTATCAACTACCACCAATATTACAGTGAATCCCTCAGAACGGGGCAACCCATAAATGAAGTCCATAGATGCCTCCTCCCAGACTCGACCTGGTAAAGCCAAGGGCTGCAGTAACCCCCCGGGTGACATAGCTAAGTACTTATTTCTTTGACAGACTTCGCATCTGGATACCATTTCTTCCACATCCTTGTGCATCCCTCTCCAGTACAGTTCTGCCGTCAATCTCCTGTAGGTCTTTAACACTCGTGAATGTCCTCCCACTACAGTCTCATGGAACTCCTGGAGCAACTGCGGAATGTGACTTGATGTTCTGGGTAACACAAATCTCCCCTGGTACAACAATCTCTCCCCCTCCAATGAGTATCCTGGATGGTTGCCCTCTCCCTTTAGTAAATCAGTCCTGATCCTGCCTAGTTCTTCATCCCTAGCACTCGCCTCCCTGATGGCCTCCCAATCTAGCATCATTGGGATTGTTACAGCCACTGTCTGCCTCTCCCCAATGCATCGGGACAGGGCATATGCTGCTTTGTTCTCCACACCCGACCTGTACTGAATCTCAAAATCATATCCCAGCAGTTTAGATAGCCACCTCTGATGTTCTTCTGTTACCATTCGTTGTTCCAATAAGTATTTCAAGCTCCGTTGGTCGGTCCTAACTATGAAATGTCTTCCAAGTAGTGGCGCCACTTTTGGATGGCCAACACAATTGCCATCAATTCCCTCTCAAAGACAGATTTCAGTCGAGCTCTTGCCGTCAGCACCTGATTGAAGTAAGCAATGGGCCTATGATTCTGCATCAACAATGCTCCTAAACCATACCCCAATGCATCTGTTTCTACTACGAAGACCTGAGTAAAATCCGGCAAAGCTAAGACCGATACTGTGATCATGGCTTTCTTTAACTTCTCAAATACTATCGTGGCGGCTTCCCCCCATAGAAATCCGTCTTTCTTCAGCTGCTCAGTGAGTGGCCATGCTATAGTACTGTATCCCTTCACAAACCTTCGGTAGTATCCTGTCAGCCCTAGGAATCCCCTCAATTCTTTCAGATTTTTAGGCAGTGGCCATGTTAACATGGCTTCAATCTTGGACTGATCTGCGGCTACCCCCTCTTTAGATACCACGTGCCCCAAGTACTCCACACTGGCTTGTGCGAAGCAACACTTCTTCAGGTTAGCCCTCAACTGATGCTCCTGGAGAATCTCTAACACCTGCTTCAAATGCCCCCAATGCTCCTCCTCTGTCCTGCTATACATTAGGATGTCATCAAAGAACACCAAAACAAACCGCCTGAGGTACGGTTTGAAGACTGTATTCATGAGTGCCTGGAATGTGGTTGGGGCATTGGTGAGGCCAAAGGGCATAACTAGGAACTCATAGTGTCCCCATGAGTTTTAAAGGCAGTCTTGGGTACATCCTCCTTCATTCGAATCGGATGATATCCTGATTTCAAGTCAATCTTACTGAAGATTACTGTTCCACTCAATTCATCCAACAGCTCGTCAATAACTGGTATAGGAAACTTATCAGGTACAGTTTCCTTGTTGAGTGCGCGATAGTCTACACAGAACCGCCAGCTGTCATCCTTCTTCTTCACCAATAGAACAGGACTAGAGAACGGGCTAGTGCTGGGCTTGATGATCCCTGCTTCCAGCATTTCTCTGATCAGCTTTTCTATTTCTTCTTTCTGAAACTAAGGGTAACGATAAGGTTGTACGCTGATAGGCGACACTCCCTCCCTCAATATGATGGCATGCTCCTTCTCCCTGGGTGGTGGCAACCCTAGAGGTGGTTGAAAAATCTCAAAGAATTCCTGGATCAAAGGTTGTACAGAGAGAGGTACATCTCCCCCTTCCTCCAAACTCACTCCCTCCAATCTGTGTAATTCCACCAAATAGCCTTCCCCCTCCTCCTGAATGGTCTTGATTAGTGATTTGAGAGAAACCCCTGCCTTGGTCAGTCCTGCATCACCTTGAATCACCCTCATCCTTCCTCCCTTCACCAACTCCATCCTCAGAGTACCCCAATTGATCTTGGTTTCCCCCAAGGGCTGTAACCACTTCATCCCTAGGATGACATCCGTACTCCCCAATTCTAGGGAAAGAAAGTCTTCCTTCACCTGGATACCTTGGATCTTCAACACCACCCCTCTACAGACTCCTCTTCCCATTTCTACCTTTCTCGTGCCGATCATCACCCCATAGCCTCCTATATCTACTAACTTCATCCCCAGCAGCTCCACAATCTGGGTGGAAATGAAATTGTGGGTTGCCCCACTATCGATCAACACCACAACTTCAAGGTCAGCCATCTCCCCTTTAACCTTCATAGTGTGACTCGGAGTGAATCCCACTACGGAGTTAAGAAAGACTTCTGGCACATCCAGATGTAGCTTTTCCTCCTCCACCTCAGAACCGCTCCCTCCCCCTCTTCGTCTTCCTCGTCTTCACAAAAGAGGAGAACTTAAAGAGTTTGATCCTTGCACTTATGCCCTGGCATGTATTTTTTGTCACATCAGAAACACAGCCATTTTGTTCTCTTCTCTTGCATTTCCTTCTCAGTAAGCTTCTTGAACTGCCCCCCATTTCCTCCTCCTGTTTCTTTTTATTTCGGGACTTCTTTCATCCCTCATGTGGACGCTCTCTTGGAGGCTAGATGGGTAGTCGTCCACCTGTAAGTGCCTCCTGAGCTGTTATTCCTAGCTCCCTTCTCCAGAATCTTTTGATTTTCGACTAGTTGTGCAAGCTTCATGATTTCCCTCAGGTCCCTGAGCATCAGGACCTTCACCGCTGCTCTAACCTCTGCCTTTAACCCCTTCATGAAGTTCCACTCCAGCACAGTATCAGACAAACGCTCTACTCTGCTAGCCAGATGCTCAAATCTCTCTCGGTAGTCCGCCACGCACCCCTCCTGTACTAGGGCAAAGAACTGCTCGTAGAAGTCTCCTCCCCGGTCGATTTGGAAACGCTCTATCAAACTGTCCTTGAATTCTTCCCAGCTATGGATAGGTCTCCTCTGATTTCTCCACTGGTACCAAGAGAGTGCCTTTCCTTCCAGACATAAGCCCGCTGCCGATAATTTCTCCTCCTCCATTAAGCCGTTAAAGGCAAAGTACCTCTCCACCTTGTAAATCCACCCATAGGCATCCTCCCCTTCAAAAATGGGCATTTTTAATTTCCTCGCCTTCTGATCCCCGCCATTTCCCCTTAATCCTCCATAATTTCCCCTCTACCATGTGCCTTGGCCCCCCCATGTCTCCCGATCTTCCCTTGCTCTACCATGCCACACCCCCCCTTCAAAATCCCTCCGTGATCTTCAAAACAACCCACTGCGGCGTCCCGAAATGCCCCGCCCCCCCCCCCCCCCAGTGCTCCACAATTAGCACCATCTTGGCTCCACCGGCGCCCGTACGGCTTGCCTTTTCCCCATATATTCCTCCTCTCTCCTCCCTCTAGATAGGCTCCATATGAGGTCTTCCTCCACTCCCTTCCACGATTTCCAATTCCTCTTCCTCCAGATGGATTTCAGAGTTGGTGTTTTTCTCTTCCGGCCCTTTTGCATCAGACGCCGCCGATTGAGTTTGAAATTCCAACATCTTCTTCATCATATCCCAGAGATCGGCCACTTGCTCTTCCATGGAAGAAATTCTTTCCTCCACAGTCTCCTTGATTTGATTCATCTCTTCTTCAAGCCTCTCCTCCAAAGCATCCACTTTCTTAGCCGCCATCTCCTACGGCTTGAAGTTTTGAGAGGATCTCTCTAGATCTAAAAAATTTTCAGCGATTTGCTTTATGCCTTTAACAAATTTCAGCCGCTGAAATTTGTTAAAAACAGCTCACGATTGGTCCCAAGACTTGCTCTGATACCAATTTGATAGAAAATACTTGTATTCACAAGCAAATCTAACCAAAATAAAGTACCACAACCAGAAAACTGCTGTCCACAGCAGTAAAACAGCCAAAATAGAGGAGAATTTAGAGGAAAAATGTAGGAAAAACTCAAAACACACTTGGATTCCACTAGACGATGAATAAAATAGCAAGATACAAGAGATCCTCAATTAGAGAGGAGGATCGTCTCTCCCAAATCTCTAGACAAGCTTGTCTAGAGCCCAAGCCTCCAAGAAACCCTAATTCCAATCAATCAAAACATAACCTCCCCCTAATCCTCTCATGCACTTTAATTCAAAAGCTTTCCTAATCTAATTTCCCTCCCAAAGCATTAGCCTCCTCTCTCTCTTAATTTGAAAATCAAATAATGGGTGGGACCCATTCATTCATGCGGCCCAGAGAAGGACTCTTCTACACCCGCTGGACTGGCCAGCGGGTTTTCCGAGCTGGTTCGGACAGAATAGGCGTAACACATAACCTAAATAAGTAAACCTTCCAACCAATCCAACCAAACAGCACCACCAGGTACGTTCTAACCAGGAATGAAACCGACCACCAACCAAACCAAACCAACCAAACAGCACCACCAGGCACGAACCAACCAGGAATGAAACCGACCAATGATCCAAAACAACCACACCAAGCCAAAGTTATTTCCAACCACGTCTGCCCCTATCACGAGAGCGATACAAACAACAGGTCTGTCATGCTGCAAGGCAAAATCACTTCCAGGTTCTTCATCCCCACTAGACTCAAAAGAAGAATCGGATGAACATTGAAGCCAGTCAATTTGCAATCTCACATCCACCCCCGAATTGTCACCCACATGATAATGCAAAGCCTCAGGGGCTATTAAATTAACAGGAACATCAACCAAAGGACCAGAAGCAGTAACAGTAGGCGTCACAGGGGAAGAAGCAGGAGGGGCAACCAAACGAGCAGAGACCTCACCCGCAGGAAAAACAGACGAATTACTCTTAGAAGGGGAAATAGAGGAATCTAAAACCTCGGCAAGCACACAAGGAACCTCAGTCGAAACCAAGCCACACATGGTAGGCACAGAAGTAGCGCACGACACAATAGGTTGCAGGTTAACGACACAATTACCACCCTTAGGCTCAGAAACACATACCCGCTGGCCATGGATGGCCGGAACAGACTCATCCACCACGGGATCCAGCGGCACAACATTAGAAATAGGCCTATAAGGTGAATCACAATTAACAACAGGGGACGCAGGAAGGGGCTCAGGGTTAATACAGCCCACCGGAGAAAATTCCAACCAAAGCAAAAGACTGGCCAACAACTAGAGCATCTGCATAAGTGCCAGCAACATCAGGCAAAGCGCTTAACACCAAATCAGGCGTAAAAGCCTCAACAACAGCACAGTTCAAAACCGAATCCTTAGGCAAATTACAAACATTATTAATAGCAACATCAACAGCATTACTGACATTATTGTCGCAACCCAACTAGAGAGGAGGGACAGGCACAGGGTTAGACGGGGCAGCTTGAGCAGGACGACAATCAACAGACGAATGTCCTAAACATTTACATGACCTACAAAAAGCAGGAAATGTTTCCATAGAGACTTGTTGGACATAGCCAAGGTTCTCAGGACTAGAGGTGTCAACTTTTGACCCGACCCGAAAACCCGACCCGAAAAATCCGGGTTGGACCCGACCCGTTTTATAAACGGGTCGGGTTCGGGTTCGTAGATTCGACCCGTTTGATAAAATGGGTC